GTTTCCCTTCTATTCAGCTGTCTCCAGGCATTGCAATGTCTGCTATCCAGACTTTTTTGTCTTTCTTATCAACAATTGTTAAGTCTGGGTGTTATGTGGCAGGAGGAGGGTGATGATGATGATGATTTAAAACATACTTCTAAAAGATCTTAAATACAAAAGCCAGTCTGGTGTGGTGGTGAAGCAGGGAAGCCATAGGCAGAAACCCAGCTGGGTGACTTTGGGCCAGTCCATCTCTTTCAGCCCTGCCCACCTCACAGGGTTATTGTTGTGTGGAAAATAGGAAGTGGGAGCATTATGCACAACACCTTGAATTGTTCAAAAGTGGAATATAAATCCATTAATAGTGAAGGTGGTAATGGGATTGCCCAGCCTTCAACATTTTACAGATGAAAATAGAGCCCTTTCTCTATCATAAGTTTAGATCACTCATTCATTTTTTAATAAACTTTCTGGCTAACTTTTCTCTTTCTTTCTTTCTTTCTTTCTTTCTTTCTTTCTTTCTTTCTTTCTTTCTTTCTTTCTTTCTTTCTTTCTTTCTTTCTTTCTTTCTTTCTTTCTTTCTTTCTTTCTTTCTTTCTTTCTTTCTTTCTTTCTTTCTTTCTTTCTTTCTTTCTTTCTTTCTTTCTTTCTTTCTTTCTTTCTTTCTTTCTTTCTTTCTTTCTTTCTTTCTCTTTCTCATTCTCTCTCTCTCTCGTCTTTTTTTCCTGCTGTAATTTAATCACTGCCCAGAGTGAGTCAGGCAGCATATAAATTTAATAAATTATTATTAATCATCCTTCACTGTGGTCCTTATCCCCTTGAAGTCAAAGCATTTACAATACTTTCTGAAAAAAAGGGGTGTGTTTAACTCACCAGTGCAACAACCTGCTTTCTAAAATCAGCATATTTTAAAGACAAAAAACCCAACTTTCTCTCCTTTTTTTTTAATAAATTGGGGATTTTTAAAAAATTTCTCTCCAATGCCCAGAGTTCCTCCCATAAATGGGTGCCGATACAGATGGGTTAAATACAATCAAATCATCAATAAAACGGATTAGGAAGGTTCCTCCCGCCCGCCCTCCCTCCC